TTGCGCAACCGTGCAGCGGCGCTCCGTCAGGTTGATCAGGACACGGAGTGGCCGAGCGAGGGCTTTCACGTTGTCCAGCGGCGAATCTGTCTTCCGTCAGGTAGTTTTTCAGGCGGCCCCAGGAGCCGCCCTCTTGTGGAAAGCGTGAGCTTCTCCACCGCAACTTTGCCGCGTAGTGCACCGTGTTGAGTTCGGCAAGCTCGGAATTGTCTGGGTTGGCGGCGGACGGCGCCAAAATGTTCGCAAGGGCGGGATTCCGCTCGGCGGCCTTCAAGGTGGGCTCAAGGTGGTCTGCGTCTACGACGAGATCGCGCCAGGCGGCCTCCCACTGCGCTACGGAAAGCAGGCGCAAACGAGCTCTGTGTGGGAAGGCGGCGTCTGCCCGCTGGTCGTGCTCCGCCTGCGCCAGTTTCGCCGAATTCGGGGCCGGGTCTTTCAACGCGGCAACCACGGCCGGCGCCGACTGCGACAGCCGCGCTGGCGCCGGCAGCGATGGCAAGCTCGCCCTGCTCACCTTGCTGGGAGGTCTTTGTGGTCTCAGCGCCGATCGCCGTCGTGATGGCGCCGCCTGGCTGGAGGGCCGCTGCGACAGCTGCTAGCGCTGCTGCTTCGGCCATGATGGGCGGCCGCCCAAGCCACGGGAGCGCAGGCGCGAAGCGGGGCGTCGGTTGATAGTCAGCTGAAATGAACCTGAAATGGCTGCGGCAGGCGGGCGACGCTAGCGAGCAGGGGGCGGCCTTGACGCGCAAAATCGTCATGGAGGAGCTGATTAGGATGTGGATCCGATTTTTCCTCGTGCTTCCGCTTGCACCGATTCGGCCCCCAGCTCTGCAGAAGCACGCGCGGCGAGTCAGTTTTGGGGCCAGCGCAAAACGCAAAACCCGAGTGAAATCTAAACAAGTCAGAACCTGCTGGCCAAAATCGCACCCGGTGCCACACCTGAAGCAAGTGCGGGCGGAACCAAGGGGCGCCGTGGTCTTCTGGGCACAAAGCGACAATCCTGGGAGCGTGAGGCGCCCGCGGAGCTGCATTTGAAAACTCGAGCGTTGCCTTGAGCAGCTCTCTGGGGGGATGGGCCCGCGCAGTCCCCCCTGTCAGCCTCGCTTCGAAATCCGAGCGCTCTGGAGAGAGCCAATCCAGGAGTTTTCGCTGTGAGACCTGCACGGCCAGCGAATAGATCCAGAGTGGAGCACGCGCCACTACGCGTGGGGATATCCAGAAAACGAAAAAAAACAGCGTCTCGCACGCAAGCAGCGCGGTAGCGATCATAATTCCAGCGCGCGGAAAACTGAGCGTCGCGGGGGCCAAGATCGGCCGCGCTCTTGGCCGCGCCACTGATGCGCGCAGCCAGCGCAGAGGCCAGCTCAATCAAGTTTCGAAGCGAGCTGCTCCAGTGCAGGGATGGCGCCATATCTCACGTTCGTGCAATGCACGACGCAAGTATTATCAGCGCGGAGCTGGGCGCGCCACCCTTCAAACTCCGCCGGCTGATCTTGGAGGCACTTGAAATTCACCCACAACTCTTTGAAACCGATGTCCAGTTTCTCCACTGGAGCGCATTCGTCTGAAGCCGGCGTGGCGGGCCACGCACCTGAGACTGATTTGCCTGTAAGACGCAAATGGTAAGACCAGCCTGTCTGTCCCGCAGCATCCGTTTCAACTACGCGGATGGATCCGGCCTGAGCAAGCTGCGACCACCAGGCGTATTCTGGCGATTTGTGGCCCCAGTTCTCCATTGCCCAGCCAGGTCGTGCAAGACACGTTGCGGCGGCTGCGCCAAAACGTTGAGGCATCGCGCGAGGTTTTTCCGACTGCGATTAAAAAGCTTCACCAGTGGACTCGCCTGGGGAGAGCGGCTCCACGGGGCGTGGGCGCCTGCTGCGTTGAGGTCTGCCCGCGCAGGGTGTGGCCGTCGCCGGGCCTGAGAATGTAGTTCGTCAAGATGCGAGGCCAAGCCTGCTACAGATGATAAATCTATGGCGCGAATCTCGCGGGCATCGTCCTTCCGAACAACTTCCGCAATGTCCGCGCGCGTTGTCTTGCATTTCTCCTGGGGCGCAGTAGCCGCGTCATTCGCGGAATCGAATATCCATCCGATCCAGCACTAGCGCGCGCTGGGAGAACGGATGCCTGTCGGCTTGCTGCTGACAGGCACGCCGATATCGGCAACAAGCCGCGCTGCTGCTTTAAGGGGGGTCCAAGCAAGATCCTCGGCGAACCCTTCGCTGAACATATCGCCAACGAAATCGAGAAGGTCAACGTCGCATGACAAACGTAGAAGCCGAAGAAGTTCTTTGATGCTAGCGTCATTGATTCCTGATGCTGGGGCGAGTCCGAAAGGGGTGAATTCATATCGCCCAAACTGTTGGCGCGTTGCACAATAGAAACCCAGGAGGTCGGCGTCGACTGGATTCCCCTTTTTATAAAGATATAATAAATAACTAATATTTTTTGTTGGAAAAAAACTGGAGGTCGATGGCGAGCGTGAAGCTGCCGTGCCGGACGCGCGACACAGCCATGTCCAATGTTCCGTAGGCGACCCCAACTTCAGGGGGCCGTTCATTCACGCGACCTCTCCGGAGGTATAAAATGAATCTTGCCATCGTTCTTGCTCGGGCGCAGAATCATCGACGCCCCCCCCCTTGGCTTCGAAAGCAAATTGCAAGGATTGATGTTCAACTGCGGTGGGCGCGGCTGACCCCGAGGAAACATGCGCACTTTGCCCAGACGCCCCAGTCTGTTCCCCTCGGCCTCCGCCCAGGAATCGCCGGCGGCAAGCGAGGGATGATTCGGGGCGCGCTTTGGCGCTCTAGCGGACGGCGCCCGAGGGCTGCTAGTTGTTGCGCCCCGGTGCGCGCTGCGACAGCGCGCGGCGCGACGCAGACGCACAGTTCCGTGCCGCTCTGCGCGAGCGGACGGCACCTGAGCGTCGCAGGGTTGCTTTTGTGACGTAAAGGTCCGCGCTGCGCTGGCGCAAGCTGGCCGTCGCGCAGCGCGACCGGAGCGCGCGTCGACAACGGGCGCAGATCTCGGCGGCGTGGGGGCGATCAAACCTTCAACCGGGGGGCCGCAAGCGCGCGGCACCACCCCCCGGGCCTGCGCGCGTAGAGGCAATGAAGAGAGGATGGAAGGTAGAAAAAAAAGGGTATCCGCGAAAACCTCGTTTCCCGAATGCAGAGCCTCCTCAGAAACTACGCTTCCCGTTTTTCGGCGTCCCCACGCCCCATGATGGCCCAAGAGCCCTTCAAGAGGGCCCAAGAGGGCGCACGAGGCCCAAGAGGACTCCAAGATGGCCCAAGAGGCCTCCAAGACAGCCCAAGAAGGCCCCAAGAGAGGCCCCAGGGGAGGAACACGCAACAACAGTTCGAGCCCTCGGCCCTGAGAAGCCCCAGGAATCCCCAAGAGGCTCCTCAGAGGCCCCAAGAGTCCCCCAACAGGCCCTCAGGAGGCCTCCAAGAGGCCCGCAAGCGCCCCCAGGAAGCACCCCATATGCCCCCGCGAGCACGCAAGCAAGTGCCAACGACCCGACGCGTTTAAGAGTTCCTAAGAGGCCACCAAGAGGCCTCCCGAACGAGCTCCCGCAGGCAAAACGCTTCCAGACGGCCCGCGACGCATTCAAAACTCCCCCAGTGGCCACCAAGAAACCTCACATGCCGAACGCAAGGCCTGATAAAAACACCCGCCGCCCCTGCAGTTCCGCACCGCGAAAAACCACTCGGTCAGTCGTCAACGGCACGCAATTATGAGCCGGCGGAATGAGCGAAGCGATTCAATAATCACCAACTTCGGAGAACGCGTCTCAGCGTCCAGGCCAATCAAGCTTACCCAAATACTCACATGGGGATGCCACCACGCATCTGCGAAGGCCCAACAACAGTAAAAACGCCTCACAGAGCCCACTAGGCCCAAGACGGCCTCCATCCAACACCTCGTCACCCCACGAGAACCCAAACAACTGCGACTGCATCGTGAACCCCCCAGGCTGTCCGAACGTAGTGCCACGAAACGCTGCGCATACAGGAAGAGAAGAGGGAAACACGCAAGAAGGCGAGGTCGCGCCTGGGGGGCGCCCCCGCCGGCATGGGCTGCTGTCGTAGGCAACAGGCAGAAGAATACAGCACCGGGTGGGGACCCGAATTTCGGCCACGCCGCCGTTGCTGATGCTGCTGCCCATGCCTCCGACGGCGATCCAACGTGGCCCCTGGAGCTCTGGAACCCTTGCGTGGCCTTCTTTCTATCCGGAATTGCTGTCTGCCAATCGTACGGCCTGAAAACGGCCCTTGGACGTCGGAATCGGTGCGAAAACTAACCATTGCTTTTCAATGCGCTAGAGGTATGGGTTTTCCTCCTACTCCTCCGAGTTTCCTTCCTGCGTCTCCACGTCTCTTGGGGGTGATAAAGACGGCGCTGCCACCCCCTGCTGCTGCATGTGGCTCCTTCTTCTCCTTCTCCTTCGTCTTTGGCCCCTTTCCTTTTTATTTTCTCACCTCCTGCTCCATTTCCGCCTCCACCGTCTTCGTACCTTCTGCATCCTCCCCCTTCCGCCTCCTACACCTTCTTCCGCCTCCTCAGCCCGCATCCCTGCTCCACTCCTCCTCCGTATCCGCCTTCTCATCATTCTCCTCCTCCTGCTCCTAGTCTTCTACCCCTCCTCCTTCTCCTCCTCCTCCTCCACTGTTTTCGTTCTCCTCCTCCTCCTCCTCCTTCTCCACCGTTTTCGTCCCATCAGACCTTCTCCCTTCTCCTTCGCCGACAGGTGACTCCAGAGGCCCCTGGGGGTCCCCAGCGACTCCTGGACGTCCCTGGAGGCCACAGAGGACTCACAATCAAAAAAATACGCAAACAATAGTCCCAAGATTATCGTTGATTATTTTTGAACATTCCTCCTGTAGAGGGACAGGCCCGACTTAGACCTCGACCCTCAATCTTCGAACTTCGATCCTCCTCCACCTTCCCTTCCCCTCCCCTGGGGGCTTCCCCGTTCCCCTCGTCCCCAAGGCCTGGTGGACCACAATCGGCGCGGGGGCGCGCCGGGCGATCCTGCGCAAGAAGAGTCAAGGCTCGGGTGGAAGGAGCAGCAGCAGGAGGCGGAGGAAAACAAGAAATATATTGAACAAACCCACACACGCACACGCACACGCACACGCACACCCACAACAACATGCACACGCACACGCGCACGCACACGCACACGCACACGCACACGCACACGCACGCGCACACGCACACGCACACGCCGACGCCGACGCCGACGCCGACGCCGACGCCGACGCCGACGCCGACGCCGACGCCGACGCCCACGCCCACGCCCACGCCCACGCCCACGCCCACGCCCACGCCCACGCCCACGCCCACGCCCACGCGCACGCCCACGCCCAGGCCCACGCCCACGCCCGCGCCCACGCCCACGCCCACGCCCACCCCACGCCCACGCCACGCCCACGCCCACGCCCACGCCCACGCCCACGCCCACGCCCACGCCCACGCCCACGCCCACGCCCACGCCCACGCCCACGCCCACGCCCACGCCCACGCCCACGCACACACACACACACACGCACACACACACACACGCACACACACATACACATACCTATACGACCACCCTGCGGGTGATAAGGAGGTTGGGGGGGGTAGGGGCCCAGCAATGGGCAACAGTGGTGAATGTTGTTGTGACAGTGCCAGAGGATAGTTGCGTTGCCGCTCGCTCTTGGGAGCGTTGGTGTCGAGTTGTTTACGTCACCCTTCGCTCTTTGGCGCCTTGGTACCATTCGGCCCTCCCCCTGGGAACCTGCCCAACTTGCGCAACGGCAGCTAACGGCGCCATTTGGCCACAGAAGACTGAAGCGCTGGCAAAGCTTGGCGCAGCCCGCGCCCCCTCTTGCACTATCGATCTCACTATCGATCTCTTTATCGGTCTCACTCATCGATCTCACTCGATCAATCTCACCATCATCTCATGCCACGGAAGGGAATCATTTGGTCCGGCCGCGCCTCAGCCACACGGGACACCAGCGGGACACCGGCGGGACACCGCGGGGCCCCGGCCGCCCGGAAGGGAATCATTTGGTCCGGCCGCGCCTCAGCCACACGGGACACCAGCGGGACACCGGCGGGACACCGCGGGGCCCCGGCCGCCCGGAAGGGAATCATTTGGTCCGGCCGCGCCTCAGCCACAGGAGACTTTCTCTCGCACGGCACGCACGAACACGAAACCGAAATCGATTTCCCGGTAGGGGGGCTCTCCGTTCCACTTCGATCTCACCCCCCAACCTCCGACACACAGACACACACACACACACAGACACGCACACACACACACACACACACACACACACACGCACACACGCACGCACACCATCCAGCGCGGCACGTTCTCCACACAGCAGGGGTTGCGCGCATACCGTACAACGCGGCACATTCTCCACACAGCAGGGGTGCGCAAGGGGTGGTCCCTGAGCGCGGCGTCTATGCGGGCCAGGGCGCATCCTGTGCGGAACGACGCTCTTGTTCCCCATGTGTTCCGTGGGGTTATAGTGTTCCTCCCACCCGCGTCGCACCCGCGTCTCACTCACCCACCTGCCTCTATTGTCCCCTCTTCCTCTTCCTTCCTCCCTTCCTCGCCGCATCCACACGCAACACATGCACGGCACCTACATGAGACACGCGTCGGCATACAGCCGCACACACACGTACACACACCATGCAACGATAGTGCACACCTGGCGTGTTCACTGCATCGTACACCAAAGACGTGTGCACCAGATAATGCGCACCCACATGAGACACACGTCCAAATACAGCCCGGCACACAATATACAAACACACGCGACACGCAGGCGCAGACCTACTCACTCACATTTCACATGGCGCACACACCACACAACACAGACGCCCAAGACTCGCAGGGCGTGGCAGGCGTGGCATCTGTTCGACACCCGAGGGGGCGTGCAGGGGGTGGTCCCTGAACACGGCCTCTATGCGGGCCATAGCGCAGGGTACGACAAGCACGGCACGTTCTCGACACCAGCGGTGGTGCTCGGGGGCGGTCCCTGAACGCGGAATTTATGCGGGCCATGGCGCTGGGCACGGCAGGCGTGGTAACTCCTCAACACCAGAGGGTGTGTGCCAATGGTCCCTGGGCGCGGTCCCTATGCGGGCCATGGCGCAGAGCACAGCAAGCGTGGCACTTTGTCGACACTAGAGGGGGTGCGCGGGCGGTAGTCCCTGAGCGCGGTCTCTATGCGGGCCGTGGCGCAGGGCACGGCAGGAATGGCACTTTCTGGACACGAGAGGGGGCGCGCAAGAGAACTTCCTCAGCGCGGTCTCTATGCGGGCCATGGCGCAGGGCACGGCAAGTATGGCACTTTCTTGGCACCAGGGGGAGTGCGCGGGGAATGTTCCCTGAGCGCTGCCTCTATGCGGCCCATGTCGCAGGGCACGGCAGGCGTGGCACTTTCTCGACACCAGGGGTGGTGCGCGGGGGGGGGGTCCCTGAGCGCGGCCTCTATGCGGGCCATGGCGCAGGAAACGGCAAGCACGGCACGTTCTCGACACCAACGGTCGTGCGTGGGGGGTGGTTCCTGAGCGCGGCCTTTATGCGGGCCGTGGCGCAGGGTATTGCAGGCGCGGCACTTTCTCGACACCAGGGGTGTGTGCATCGCGCTATCGCTCGAAACTTCCTTGTGACTCATGTTGGATTGACGCTTCAACAACCCGCCCGCTCGACACGGTCGTCTGGGCCCGCCCGCCTGACCTGCCCGTTCGGGTCCGCCCGTCCGGCCCGCCCGTCTGGTTCTTCCGCTTGTGCTCCTGCTCCTAGCCCTCCTCCTGCAAATCTCTCTCATGCTCCATCCTCCTCCCTCCCTCTTGTCTCTTTCCTTCTCCCTTCCTTCTCCTGTTTTACCGGCTGCGCCAACTACACGCGGCAGGTAGGGAAGATAGAACCCCCCAAAGGGGTACGATCAAAGACGAAGAAGGCCGGACATCGGGGATTTAGAATATACGCGTTGAGCGGCACGCGAGCAGAGAAGAGCGAACATTAGTACAACTATTGAATTCCCATTCCAAAACAAACTACTGTTGATCCCAACTGTCTGATGCACATTGTGCTTTTCCAATGAACGCTCGAGCGAAGGAACATATTGGTGTTCAAACTGGCCCCCTGGTCCCCGGGTTACAAAAACAACGGCTCCCGCCAGATACTTCCTGACATGTTGTTTCAAAGCCACGCTCTCGCGCGGGACTTCCTCACACTTTCTTCAGGAATCGCGCTCTCGAGTGGGACTTTCATCCAAGTTATTCAGACGCCGTGCCCTCGAGACAGATGACTCACGTGATTGCATCCATCGTACTTAAGGACCACATCCCAGAAATAATTTCGAGCACCCAGAACAGTGTCGAAAGAGTGTTGGAATAAAGTCGAAACGGTGTCGGACGAGTGTCTCCCAGGGCCCGGCACGTGAAAAGCCTGGAGTTTTGGGGTACTGTTCTGGCGCTCGAAATTCTTTCTGGTGATCAAGGCTAAAGTAGGTTGGAACACCATAAGACTCACGCTCTTCCTTTGGATTTCTGCACGATTTGTTTGGGAGCCGCGATGTCGCTCGGGACTTCCTTGCGACTCATGCAGGACGCACGCTTCAACAACCCGCCTGTTCGACCTGGCCGCCTCGGCCAGCCCGCCCGACCCGCCCGTTAGGGTCTACCGGATGGATCTGCCCGTCTGGTTCTGCCACGTGCTTTCTGCTCCAAGCCCACCTTCTGCTACTCTCTCTTTCTCTTGCTCCATCCTCCTCTCTCTCCCTTGCCCCTTCCTTCCATCCGTCCTCTCCTACCCTGCCTTAGGGGCTGCCCGAAATACGCACTGCAGGTACGAAAAATATACCGATGATAGGGGTACAGTCGAAGACGAAGAGGGCGGGTATCGAGAATTTGGGATATACGTTATATACGTGTTGAGTTGCACGCGAGAAATTGACAAGAGCGGGCAGTCTCAAACTGAGTGTTGTTGTTGCTGTTGCTGTTGCTGTTGCTGTTGTTGTTGCTGTTGTTGTTGTTGTTGCTGTTGTTGTTGTTGTTGTTGTTGTTGTTGAACATTATTACTTCTAAAGAATAATTATTGTTGGGGCCCCTGGTGCACGACCCCCCCGCCGCGCCTAGGCCGCAGCCTCATTTTCATCATTTTCGTGAGGAAGTCTCAGGCAAAACGGGGGAGTCCGGATCCGGTTGTGTTGTTACGATCGGTTTTCCCTTGCAAAAAATAAGCTAAAGTGGACATTTCTTGTTCTAACATAACCAAACTTCAAGAATCCCTTGCAAAAAATAAGGTAAAGTGGACATTCGCGCGCGCAAGACGAAATCCTTCCAAAACCTTAGTTTTCGTAGCGATTTTAACATAAAAACATCAAAAAACCAATGGTTTTTCAAAAAAAAATGTCAAAATTTCATCCCGCGCGCTCTTGCGGATTCGTAGGAAACCCAACACTTTTTAAACATTTCTGTCAAACGGGCTTTTGCGAGCAACTTTTTCGAACTTCTGCAACAACGGTTGCGCACCTGCCAGGGCCATCATCCCTGTCAAATAATACCATGCGGGACACATTCGTTTTTTCTTCGCGCGCGCACGCCGTCGTCGTCGGCCGCGGGGCCCTGAATAGTAGCCACGGTCGTCCGCATGCCACGAAGTGAAGTGTCCGAACGTCATAGGGCGGGAAGCTGGGTGTGGGTGGTGGCGAAGAGTCGTTTGGAAATTTGGTAGAGCTTGAACCGGCCCCCCCACAAAGTGGGGGTATTGCCCGCCTCCTATGAAAACCCTGGCACTGGTGAGAACGGAGTGTCCCCACGTGCTAGTAATTGTTGTTGTTGTTGTTGTTGTTGTTGTTGTTGTTGTTGTTGTTGTTGTTGTTGTTGTTGTTGTTGTTGTTGTTGTTGTTGTTGTTGAACCTTAATTACTAAACAATTATTATTGTTGGACCCCCTATATTCGCCCTGGCGCTCTCGCCGAGGCGCCGGCCGCATTTCCTCTGAAATTGAGGATCACGCTCAAGCGTTTTGGGGTTCCGCCAAAACCGGCTCCCCAACAACAACAACGCTCCGGCTCGAGACTTCCTCCTTTTTTACTCGGGCTCGGTGCTCTTGCTCGCCGCCGAGGGCGGCTCCCGGGCCGGACGCCCGGGTCGGCGCTCGAGCCGGCGCCCGGGCGCCAGAAAATCGAGTTCCGAGGCGGCGCCGAAAAAAAACCATTCCAATACACATTTTTCTTCCGAAAATGCTGAATTTCTGCTTCCGGCGCCCGGGAGGCCGTCCTGGGCCGATTCCAGAGCCTGGGCCGGCCCGGCTCCCGGGCCGGACGCCCGGGTCGGCGCCCGAGCCGGCGCCCGGGCGCCGGAAAATCGAGTTCCGAGGCGGCGCCGAAAAAAGGCCATTCCAATACACATTTTTCTTTCGAAAATGCTGAATTTCTGCTTCCGGCGCCCGGGAGGCCGTCCGGGCCGATTCCGGAGCTCGGGCCGGCACCCGGCCCGGCCGGCACCCGGCCCGGCTCCCGGGCCGGACGCCTGGGCAGTTCCGATCGCGCCGAAAAAGAGGCCATTCCAATACACATTTTTCTTTCGAAAATGCTGAATTTCTGCTTGCGGCGCCCGGGAAGCCGTCCTGGGCCGATTCTGGAGCGGCTTTGGGCCGGACGCCCGAGCCGGCGCCCGTGCGTGGTGCTTCTCTGCTTCTGGCGCCTGCGCAGCTTCCCGAGCCGCTTCTGGAACCATATCTGGGCCGGTCCAGCGATAGGTTTCCTGGATGTGCTGAACCATCAAACTTTTTGAGACTTCTGCGTCTCAAGGATAGGGAGAGAAGACATTAAAGGAGGATCAAAAAGCAACGTCGCTATGAACGCTTGGCTGCCACAAGCCAGTTCTACTTACTTGGACTACTACTACCGTTACCACTACTACTAGTGCTACAGCCGCAACAACAATATCATCAACTGCTGCTACTACAACTACTCATCCTTCCTCCCCCTCCTCCCCCTCCCTTCTCCTCCTCCCCCTCCCTATCTCTCTCATCTCCCCCTCCTCTTCCTCTTCCTCTCCCTCTGAGATGCGGGGCATGCGCAAGGCGATTGCGAAGGCGATGTGCCGTCCGAGCTATGGATGTTGAAGTTCCTCGGAAGAGGTGGTGGCCAAACCTTCTTGGGCGGGATATCTGGGTGAGGGAATATCGGATCCCGCATGCCAGAAAAATCCCCCATGATGGGGTGTGTTATCCAGATGGATGCATGTGTCATGTGGAAGCATGGCGCATGAGGGTAAAATGATTGTTGTTGTTGTTGAACATTATTATTCTAAAGAATAATTATTGTTGGGACCCCTGGTGCGCGACCCCCCCCGCCTAGGCCGCAGCTACATTTTCATCATTTTTTCGCGAAAGCTTCAGAAAAGTGGATTGTTACCGGATCCGGTTGTTTTGTTGTATCCGTTTTCCCTTGCAAAAAACACTATAAAATGAAAATTCTTGTTCTTACTTGATCAAATTCAAGAATCCCTTGCAAAAAATAAGGTAAAGTGGACATTCGCGCGCGCAAGACGAAATCCTTCCAAAACCTTAGTTTCGTAGCGATTTTAACATAAAAACATCAAAAAACCAATGGTTTTTAAAAAAAATTGTCAAAATGTTCTTCCCGCGCGCTCTTGCGGATTCGTAGGAAAACCAACACTTTTTAAACAATTCTGTCAAACGGGCTTTTGCGAGCAACTTTTTCGAACTTCTGCGACAACGTTGCGCACCTGCCAGGGCCATCATCCCTGTCAAATAATACCATGCGGGACACATTCGTTTTTTCTTCGCGCGCGCACGCCGAAATCTCCAAAAACCATTGGGTTTTTAAGAATTTTAGCACCGCGCATCATAAAATCACACGAATCGCACCGTAGCTCTCCTCTGGCTCTCTGTCTTGCTCTCTCTCTCTCTCTCTCTGTCTCTCTGTCTTGCTCTCTCTCTCTCTCTGTCTTGCTCTCATATCATGCGCAACAAATGCACGATGCGGGGCACATGCGGGGCCCAAACAAGTGATTAACCTCTGCGGGTGTGTACTCCACGCCAGTGTAGTATCCACGATCGTCCGCGCGCCACGAAGTGAAGTGTCCTGACGTCATAGGGCGGGAAGCTGGGTGTGGGTGGTTCCCGAGAGTCGTGTGGATGTTTGGTAGAGCTTGCATTGCCCCCCCACGAAGTGGGGGTATTGGCTGGCGTCGCATGATAACCCTGGCACTGGGGAGAACACTGAGCGTTCGGGTAAAATGATTGTTGTTGTTGTTGTTGTTGTTGTTGTTGTTGTTGTTGTTGTTGTTGTTTGTGTTGTTGTTGCTGCTACTGTTGTTGTTGTTGGTGTTGCTGTTGTTGTTAGTGTTAGTGTTAGTGTTGGTGTTGTCGTTGTTGTTAATAATATCGTTTGTGTGTATGTTCTTCCTGTTGAACTCACACTCCAAAATCATACATGTTGTTGCTTCCCCTTCCAATAACCAGTGCATTTGTGAAATTGAAGTGCTTGAATCGCGCTCTCGCTCTGGCTCTTCTCACGATTCACTCACCCGACCAACTCTGTCCTGGCTCGGGCGAATCAACACTCACAAGTTAAAGGGGGGCGGTATGCTTTATTATCGCGGGCTAGTATCGCGGGCGCTCGGGAATGATGGAGGCTCGCACTGGGCCCCCGAGCAACCCTCGGAAATGGGGACACTTTTACCGATCGCAGCCCCCCAGGGATAGCGAGGTCGAATCTGAGTCCTCGTGGACCCGCACAGTGCTGGGCCCCCAGCAGCCCTGGAAAGTGGCGACGGTCTCGCACTTCGCGGCCCCCCAGGAATGGCGAGGTTGGAGGCGATGGGAGGGAGGAGGAGAGAGGAGGGACGCGGGAGGAGGAGGAGGAGGAGGAGGAGGAGGAGGAGGAGGAGGAGGAGGAGGAGGCGGGCTGGAGACCGCGACACTCAGGTCAAAACAGCAACCCCTCGGAGGGTCGCGCGCGCGCGTCGGAGAAACTCGGATGCGCCTGAAGTGCGAGCGTGGTATCGGAATCGGAGCAGAGGCGCGCTTGTTTCGGAGGGCGCCGGACGCTCCTCAACTGCTTTCCATGGTGCCACAGCAGGAAATGCGGGCCTGATCAACTGCTGACCAGCAGGGGACCCCTCGATTCTTGGAGCAAAGCGCTGCCCGTGATTGCAAATCGCAACCGCCGTGAAACGAGGAAGGGAAACCGACTCTGATCCGATCTTTTCGCGCTGCCAACCTCCCCAGGACAGGCTATTCATCCTGAATCGTTCCGTGGCGGTCCCCTGGGCTCAGAAACGACATCGAGAGGCTGAAACGCTGGAGGCTTCCCACATGGGATCCGAGTAGCTGGGGTCGGAGGATCACACCGAAACGGCGATGCATCGGCGACATTGGCGCTGCATCGCAACCGTCGGCGAGGAGACAATGTAGCTCCATACCGCATCGCGGATTCATTGGCCTACGGCACGATCCTCCGACACCATTTGCTCAGACTCAATTTGTCGGGGAGATCGAGATGGGCACGGAAAGTATCAGACAAAGACCGACATAATTTCTTGTTCGTGCTACCCATTTCAAACCAGAAGGCCGCCTGCCCAACAACCAACGACCGCTGTCGATGTTGAATCAAATTTCTTGTCGGGCATCATACTCAGTTTGTCCGTACCCATTCGGGGCGTTCAGAATGTGGGAAGCCTGGATCAGTGGATGTGCCCACTATGCACTGGGAAGCCCCGGCTGGGATCGAAGGTGCGCTCCGCTGCGCCATCGACCCCCGGGAGCTGGGCGCGTTCTCGTCGACGAAGACGAGGTTGTCGTCGGAGTCGTCGCCTTTCGGCAGCGGGCTCTTCTTATTACGCAGAGGGCGCCCATGAAGTCATCGTGCGAATGCAAGGAACCGAAACTGCCAACAAGCCCCCGAGGGGACCAAACGAGGCCCCCAGAGGTCCTCTAGGTACCCCCGAGAGGCCCCAACAGGCCCTCAGGAGATGCCACCACGAGGCGCCCGAGCGACCAACCAAGAGACTCCAACATGCCTCCCAATCAGGCCTCTGGCCTACCACCCAATCTGGCCGATGGCCACTAAACACTACATGCAGTACGGGCCGGCGGGATGAGCGGGTCCCCTGCGGTCCCTCGTGGTGCTGACCTTCGAGGGTAGATGATGATATGCAAATGACATGGAAGAGAGAGAGAGAGAGAGAGAGAGAGAGAGAGAAAGAGAGAGAGAGAGAGAGAAAGAGAGAGAGAGAGAGAGAGAAAGAGAGCGAACAGCATGCATAATTTCTGCTAAAAAAAGGGTTCGCGCATTCCGCCTTTTCATTATGTGGGACACGTGAAAACACAATTGGGACGTGTTCCTCAAATTGCCGTTTCGCTGGGGACATCCTCGACCAAATCGGCTTCGGAGGGAGCTCTGACTATCAAGAACTGCCGTTTCGCTCGAGACATCTTCGACAACTCGGCTTCAGAGGGGAGAATGTTTTTGTTCGTTGCAGTTTCGCCAGGGACGCCGATATTAATCCGCCGACCCGATCTTCCTCCGTGGGACGCTTTCCCGCTGCTATTCCGTTCCCCCCCCCCACTTCCGGCTTCTCTCTCCTGGTAAAGTTGCGTCATCCTCCCTCCCTCAACTGCAACAGCGCACCACCTTCTTCGGCCTCCTTCTTTGCATTCTCCTCCTCCTGCTCCCATTCCTCCTCCTTTTCTGGCCTCTGCGCTGTAGCTCGCCGAGAGGAAGGAGGGGGAAAGTAGAGAGATGGAGAAATTAGGAAGGAGTAGAGCCACATAAATGTGTTTCTTCGCACCCGCGTCCGCAACGACAGAGGTCATCACGACGAACAGGGAACCCATGTTCGCAGTCAAAGTCCGCCATCCTTCGACGCGAGGGTTCTCCATCATCGCATGATATGTATTTGCCCCCGACTCGCACGGCCCCAAAGCGAGCATCCACGGGCAACGCGCCCCCACGAAGGTTCAGACCCCCCCCAAACAAAAGCGGCGGACACCCAGAAACGCCGTGAACAAAAACAAACGATTCCCCCGACAACTCTCCAGAAGGTCCAGACGAATCGCCCTGAAGCTGCTCCACGAGAGTTGTTTCAACCCCGACATTCATCATTACAAACGATACGACTCAGAAAAACAGCCCCGCCCCCGCAGCTCCACACTGCTAGCGACCACTCGACCAGCCGACAGCGGTGCGACAAGGTGGACCGGCGGAATGGGCAAAGCGATTGAATCAGCAATTCAAAGAAGCAGTGCGAAGATCAACGTAAAGCACTGCAAAGCATTGCGAAGCGATGCGAAGCAATGAAAATCAATGCAAAACCATACCATGCGATGCAAATCAATGCAACGCAATGTAAACCAATGCGAAGTCTTGTACTGCGATGAAGCGCAGTGCAAACAGGCAGTGCTAGCAAACACAATGCACATACTCAATGCAAACCGATGCGACGCAATGCCATGCAATGCAATGCAACGCCGTTCGATGCAATTCGGCATTACACATCCCAACATATCTTTGGGCTAAGGTGGTCTAGCGATATCTTTCTTTCCTTTTCCGAACACCCTTCGGGGATGGGTACCGTTCCCCTCCCCTCAATGACATTTTTTGGGCCGCCCCCGGCGCGATAGTGTCCTAGATGGCCTCGGCGAAAAGGCCAACATCACTGATTGTACCAAGGTTGTGGGCCCATGTTGGCCTCCCGGGACAAGGGGTGCAAACGTTTCGATTCCCCGCTTTTAATCGATGGCCTCCAAGATGACCCTCAGGGCTCTCAAGGGACACTCAATAGATCTCCAAGAGGGCTCCAATACCCCCCGAAGAATCCCAATACCGCCCCAAGATCCCCCAAACGAGCCCCAAGAGGACTCCAAGAGGCGATCGTGAGGTCGTCCTCGTTGCCCTCATCGTTTTCAGTTTCTTGTTCCTCCTCGTCCTCGTCGTCGTGGCCGTGGTCGTCGTCGTCCTACTCCTCTTTCCCTCGCCACCACGCGGACCCCAGGGATGGCCCGAAGAGGCCCACCCCCTTGCCACCAGAGAACTCTCTGTTCATCATGATTGCCCACTCTGCTTAACTACGTGTCTCATCGTCCCTTCTCACATCAACTCTCATGGGCAAGGTTTTCGAATGGACTGGTGGAGATATATTTTGTTGACCTGCGGCCCGCAAGGAAAAGTCCAGAGGGCTTGTCAATCAGGCTAACTGGGGCACAGAGCCAGATAATTCGTGCAACATGCAGAACAAATGGGGGAAAACGGGCAGAGCGGGAAGGGGCGACAGAAGACGGAAAGAGGAAAAAGGGGGGGCCTCACTCACGGAGCACCGCGTGCTCGAAGGCAGAACTCCGCTGACTCAGGCGACGGTAGACATGGCGTGAATCCCGCGTGGCAACTGTCACCCAGCGGGAAGGGGGAAACGTCGTGTGGAACCACTTCACAGTCAGCAGCGTCCGAGGCACGTCAGGGGGGAACTGCGGGCAGGTGGACCACCTGCGCACCGCGGATGGAGTGCCGCCCGGGCAGACCCACGCACCCTTGTGGGATCTATACGCAGTGCTGTGAGAGGTACACCTCGCCCCCAGGAGGTGACTCATAGGTATTCGGCCGGAGCCGTACTGCGGTGAAACATGCCCTTGACGAGTAACGGCCACCTCGGCGGCGTTGACCCGTGGGGGCTCCTGCCTGTGGAGCGTGCCTTGTGAACGTCGCGCGTAGGGTCCGCCACCGCAGTCGTCGAGGGCGTCAGGAGGGAAGAGGGGGAGGCGCAGCCGATAGCCGCAGGACATTTGAATGCAAAGGGGAGGAGGAGCCAGGCAGTGACACCGCCTGTCGAGGACCCAACACTCAAAGTCGGTATGTCGTCGGCGTGTGGCGCCGCCTGGTGGGGGGGAAGCGCCGCCAGGGCAAGGCCGTCAGACGTCGGGACTCCGTCACAGGGGCTGGGGGGACACCCTTCACAGCAGTGGGCCGGGCCCGCCGTGGGAAGGAGGAGCCTGCCAAAGGAGTACCACTTGTGCAGGACTGCAGCGTCACCAGTGGCTGTACACCCTGCGAAATGCTTAAGAAATCATGGGTTAAGAAATTCAGAGTCTCAGAACTTCAATAAAAGCCCAAAATTTCCATTCAAATCTTAGGATTTACATTGAAACATTAAGAATAATCGAGAGTCTGGCCGAAAAATTAAGTTTTCTTAAGCATCGCCTAAGGTGTACTCCCGTATGGGCCAGAGTAGGGGCCGGCGAAAGGCTGCGTTGCCCCGTGTCTGGGAGGCTGTCCCGTGGTCTCCCTGCTGAGAGAGGGGCACAGCCAGAGGACGGCAGACGGACGGAGGGCCCAGAGGGGATGCACAGCGACTTCCGCAGCCCCCGTCGCCTCCGCCGACTCCCCGCACCACTCCTCTGGCCTGCAGTCACAGATGGAACTGGTGGAGATACGCGAAACGTGAAGAATTTGCTCCCGTCCTTCACTTGCTGGTCCCCGTTCTGAATTCGCAAAACCCCCGCGTCGCACTTCTGTCGCCTCCACCCTCGTCCTCTCCCCTCACTCTGTCTTCCGTATGGCCGTCCCGGCACACCCGTCACACGCTTCGTGCCCCCATAAGGAATGGTTCCGCGCCCCATTTCGACGTACCCTCGCACGTGCCGTGCCCCTCTAAACAACTCCAACGAAAACACCAATGGCGACGGTTGCGTGGTAAACCCATCATATTTCGGCACACCCTTCACTCACTCGTGCCGTGCCAAACCCCTCCCATGGCCAATGGCCCTCTAGAGAACTCCACCAAAGGTCCCAGTGGCAGGGCTCGCATGGTACTCCGACTCGCTTCGGCGCCTCCCTCCTCACGCGTAGGCCCCAGTGGCGCAGTCCGCATGGAGCCCCGCCCAATGTCGGCACACCCCTCACTCGTTTCGTGACCCCCTGGAAAGCTCCACCGAAGGCCCGAATGGCAGGGTCTAGAAGAATTAGCCTGGCGAAGGACCCAACCATATGCATCTGTGAATACCGCAAGTGTGAATATCGTTTTCGGCGGCGCTACCTCTGGGTAGTGGAGACGCATGCGAACACCCCCACTGGGGCCTTCGGTGGAGCTCCCTATGGGGCTACGAAACGCTGCCCTGGGTGAGCGAACCGCATGCAGGCAGCCCCACTGGGGCCTTCGGAAGAAAAAAAACATACACATAAACTGTTGGCGCTCCGCGCGAATTTCTTGTGTCCCTGGCGCGTGGAGCACGCCATGGGGCGGCGCCGGAGGTGCCGACGGGGGGCCCCGGCGCGGATCCGAGGACTCCGCGCGGAGTTCCAAGAGTTTACGTTTGTGTATTTTTTTGTTCTTCCTCGATCCACCGAAGGCCTGAATGGCAGGGTCAGCATGCAGGCGCGGATCCAAGAAATCCGCGCGGAGTTCCAAGAGTTTACGTTTGTGTATTTTTGCTCTTCTTCGGTCCACCGAAGGCCTGAATGGCAGGGTCAGCATGGTAGCCCGCCCCCGTTTGGCAGAACCCTCTCACTTTTCGTGGGCTCGTCGCGCTTGTCGCGAGAAGCTCCCTCCTCTGGAGCGGCTCGTGCGCAATGGTGACATCGACGATGAATACTGCTTTTTGCCGATCAAAAATGCACTTGGCTTCCGAGAAGTCTTTGTTAATTCGCCTAATTACCATCGCGTTGCCCCTAAGAAAGACCCGTCAGAGGTTCAAGAGGGGGAATCCGAAGGGGCGTTTGGGGCCCGCCACCCCTACATGGCCCCATCCAGGCATCCAGAACTTGCCCAGGATGCCCACAAACTCCCATGAGGTCACCTGGAGGCCCGGGAGGCCTCCAGGAACCCCCGAAGAGACTTCCAAGATGCTTCCATGAGGCCCCACAGAGGCCTCAATGAGGCCACAGAAAGCCTCTAAGAAGCATCTTGGGAACCTGGGAACGACCAAGGTACGGAAGCGGTTTTAGCCGAAGGCCTCTAGTTATACCCTCCTGGCCTAGACCAGGAGGGTCAGTACACCATCCTAGCGCTCAAGACGCTGGGCAAACGTGGTGGTGGGGTGGGAATACGTTTTCAAGCCTGCGGCTCCGTCAAGATATCCTAGATGAGAGGCCTGGGGACACGGCATGGTAGAACTGGGGCCTACGAATTCAAAGCATCAATTCACATTAGACCTGGGTCCAGAGAATGAGGGCAGGGTTGTCTCTTCCTCGTTCTCCTCATCTCCCTCCTTCAGATCAGCAACAAAAGCAGCGACAGCTATGTCAGCACCAACACCACCACTGCCGGCGGCAGCAACCAAAAAAGAAGAATGATAGAAAACTCCCAAACGGGTCCGAGCAGATGTAACGGAAGACCGCGCAATCACCGTCGCCGATGCATCGCTGATGCATCGGCGACGTCGGCGATGCACCGGCGCCATCTGCGTCGGATAATCGATCTCCGCATCGAGACGCATCGCCGATGCGGCTCGATCGTCCGACCCCACCTGGGAGGCCTGGAAGTGAGGGGATGGTGCGGGAGGGCGATCAGGAAAAAGACTGGCACCGACGACAACGAACAACGGCAACGAGAACACATGGGGGTATCAACAGACATACCAACACCTGCGTTCTGACCAGACTCTGGAGGCGAGGCCAGCCGTAGCGACGAGGGCCTTCCGGGAGACCCGAACATGCGAAAACGAGGGAAGTGCAGCTGCATCGGTGCCGCTCTCCCTCCTGACGTTGGCTTCTCCTCTTAGGTCGGGCCTGTCCCCCTACAGGCGGACTTGGGGCGAAACATTGAAAATAGCTGAAGTACCCCAAAATACGCAAGAATAGTAGAAGAGTCGCCCCTTTTGACCATTTTCGAATATTCCTCCTGTAGAGGGACACGTCCGACTTAACGTTTTTGGACGCCCGAAATGGGCACGGAAAGAACGGGTACAATGCCCAACAACAAATGTTGTCCCAAACCAACAGCGGCCGCTGTTGGGCAGGCGGCCCCCTGTATTGAATGGACACAGGCCGCGGCGGCGTGGACAGCGAGTCCTGTTCAAAATGAACAGGAACTGCAGCTGGGCATTGTACCCATTCTTTCCGTACAGAGCAGTTTCTCATACATGGGATTTTAATCACGTAGGATTTTTTAAATTGATGACTAATTGATGAATAAAGTTACGCATGCACTCATCGTTGTTTTTAGTGCTACATCCCTGCATTCCCACACATGCTCCGCACGCGGAGCATGTATCCAAAACGGCACCGTACCCACTTCGGGCGTCCAGAACGTTCGGCGGCGGACAAACCTCCCTTCAGTAAACCTGCCCTTAGTTGAAAACGGCCTGGGGCCGAGTTCGACGGGGCCCTCCCGCGAACCGAAAACGGCCCATTCCTTACTCGACGTGCCAGGGTAGGAGGTCTATCCACCCCCGAAACGTTGGCTCCTCGTCGGAGGTGGGCGCGGGGGCGGACGCGGCAGCCCGTCGCCTCCCTGGTCTGCCACCCTCCGCGAGAGCGCGGCGGGCTGCTGCCGGGAGTGCGCGCCGTCGCCGGCCCTGGCGCGGGGGCTGCGGGGGGGGAGCGCGCCTCGGGTGGCGGACTGCCACGCCGCCCTGCCTCGGCGAAGGGCGGACCGCTCGCCATCGCTCGGACGTATTTTTTTTTTTTTTTTTTTTTTTTTTTGTTTTTGTTTGTTTTTTGGTTTCGTGCGTTGTTTTTCGTCAAACGGTCAAGGATGTTCCTCGATGGCCCTCGCCAAGGGAAACATGCACACGTCCGAGCGATGCCAAGACCGAGGCGCGAGGATCCGAACGCGCGGTCGCGTTTGGTCGTGTTCTGGGCTTCGCGTTCCGGGCCCCAGGGCCGTCGGAACCCGCTCTGGGAATGGAAACGGATCGGGATGGGCCGCGGGAGGGGTCCAGGAAACTAGTGTGAGCGGATCTGGGTCGCAAAAGGCTCGCGGGCGGATCGAGGAGCGAGGACCTTGGAGGTTTTTGCCCTGTCTGGGTCTCTGAAAGTATTCTCGTCGCTGCGGCTGAATGCCCCTCGATGTGATGCTGAAAACGCACCCTGCGAAAGGTCCTGAGTCTGATTTTTCACAGGGTAGAAGGACCATCTCGGAGGATGAAGGAGGAAAGCTAAGATGAAGAGGGGGCGGTAACGAGGAAAAAAACAAAACAAAAAAACATGATCGACCCACAAATCCGGAAAATGATTTAGAACAGCGAGGAATGGAAACGCTTCCAAGCGGGCCATCGGGATCCTGTAACTTTCGTCGCTTTTCGGCTCCCCTGGGTCGAAAACGACTGAAGTCTCAGGCGGGAGCCCCGTCCCTACGGGGTCCGCACTTCACGTTGGTAATCCGAACGGGCCGTCGGGAACTTATGACTGTCGTCGCTTTTCGGCCCCTATGGACTGAGTATGGAAAAGGTCTCAGGCTTGCAGATGGAGGGAGTCGCAGGCGGGAGTTGCGTCCGTGAGTAATTTGCGAGGAAGTCTTAGGCGGGAGCCCCCTTCCCTATGGGGTCCGCACTTCATATCGGTAATCCGAACGGGTCATCGGAACCTTGTAACTGTCGTCACTTTTCCGGCTCCCCTGGGCTCAATATGGACCCCAGGGCTGAGGCGGAGCAGCTCGCGGCAGAGGTGAACTTCGTGCTGCCTCCCGCCTGAGCGCGGCCGCGACTAACTTGGTGCCTGCGGGGTTGTCCCAACGGCTTGCTCTCGCGCCCCAGCGGCTCGCGAAGGTTGTCCCGACGGCCGTTGCCCCGATGGCTTGGCGATTTTGCCATCGGAGAACGCGCCCCTGCCGGGCGCGGCGGTAAGGGCGCCGAAGAAAAGCGGCATGCGCCCCCCTGCCAGGAGAAAGGAGAGGTGCATTAGGAGAACAAGCGGGATGGAGATGAAGGGAGGCAGAAAGAGGAGATGGCGGAGAGGGGGGAGGAAGAATAGGACGAAGAGGAAGAGGAGAAATTGAACAAGGAGGGCGATCAGGAGGAGGAGACGGAGGACGAGGAAGACAGGGAGGATGAGGAGGAGGCGCAACAGATGGCGAGACGGGGGGCTGCGGCCAGGACGACAAGAAAAGAGCGAAGGGCAATCTGAATATACTATCATGCGGGACCTTACCATCGGAATAATTTGTAAAGTTTTAGGGCCTCCCTACTTCGTATGTTATTATGGATTCTGCGCATAACTCTCCACACCCTGTGTTTTACTAGGAAGCGTGTCTGCGGACTCCGTTATTTATCGAAGATCCGAGATAGGGGGGGCACATTTTCCTCAAGCGGGCACGCGCGAAACGCGTGTTTTCAAACTGGAATCAAACTTCACCTCGCCATTCATCGTAATTAAAGCCGCCGGCCCTCTTCAAATCGTCCCCGGGGGTGGAACCAACTAAAAGAGAATCGCGGGCCAGCGCCCTTTCCGGAAACAAAAAAAAACATAAATGAGATGGAAAAGGAAAACAGGGAGGGGGAGGAGGGAGAAAGGAGACGAGGACGACGAGGCGGACGCCGATGGAGAAACACCCATCTGGAGAAGGACGAAGAGGACGACGACACGAGGGAAGGTATGAGGGATCAAGGGAAGGACGAGAAGGACATGCAGATGGAGATGTTGTAGGAGGGATGAGATGTGAGGATCGCGAGGAAACTTATGGAGAGAAGAAGGAACGGTGTGATGAGGAAGTGTACAATTATATGCAAGAGGACGAGGTGGAGAAAAAGGGGATACAGAGGGAGTGAATGAGGGAGAAGCAGGAGGGCATTCATGAAAAGGAGGAAGCAGAAAAGGGAAGACAAGCAAAAATGAGAAGGAACCCCCCTCGACCTGATGGTCCGACATTCCTCCTCCTCTACCCCTTTGTCCTCCAGCTCCTCCTTCTATCACTACTCCCCTACTCCCTCCTCTTACGGCAGGTTCGTGTCGTGTCGACCCCAGCATTGGTTTTTGACACCGCAGGGATCGTTCAACCTTGAACGATCGGCCGCTGCCGCAACGTCCGATCGTTCAACGTCGATCGATTCTGGGTCGCCGGCGGCGTTCAACCTTGAACGCCCGCGCTGGGGTCGCCGCTGGTCGACACGACGCAAACCTACCGTACCCACCATCTCAAGGGATGTGGATGGAAGAGAAAGAAATAACGGCAAGGGAGGAACACTTGGAGCAAGATGCGCGCGGACCTCCGGCCGGCTTTTGCACCCCGAGCTCGCGGGGATCAGACCGCTCCAGCGCGGCCACCCTCGCGCACCCGCGGGTGACCACACGCCCATATCCGAGCTCTGAGCTAGAGGCCTCCTAAAAGGAGTCCTAACACCGCGGGCTCATGTCGTGTCGACCTCGGCGCTGGTTCCTGACAGCGCGGGGATCGTGCAAGCTTGAACGACGGGCCGCTTCAGAAACGTTAAATTTTTCAACATCGGCACATTCTGCGTCGCCGGAGGCGTCCAACGTCGAACACTGGCGGCGGGGTCGCCTTCTGTCGACACGACGCGAACCTACCCTAGATGGGGTTGGAAGATCGCGCCGCATCGGCGATCCATCGGCACTGCATCAGCGATGCATCTGCCACGCACAGGCGACGTCGGCGTGGATAAACACTGGATCCGCATCGAGCCGCATCGCCGATGCATCGGCGATGCGGCGCGGTCCTCCGACCCCTACTCGAACCCCATTTGACAGGCCTGGATGAGCGCTTTTGACGGCCCATTGAGGTGCGCGGTCGGGCACTGGCGTGGCCGCCAGCCGACCCAAGTCAGTCCGTCTGCATGGGTGCCGCCGCGCCCAGGGCGCCATCTCGCTCTCGCGCGTGCGCCTTGACGGAC